CCAATCTTATATTATCTTTACCCTTTTCTGTTCGTAATTTTCCCCTTATTCCCGATTGTTTTACCTTGTTACTGTCTTTATTTCTACCACGATTCTGTAACTTTCGCTCGTGCTACCACTACTACTGTTATTGCTCGTACTACTACTACTGCTATTACTGTTGCTGTCACTACAGTGGAAGGACACTAGAGAAGGATAAAGGCAGCATTGTTAGATCTTTTCAAAGGAGTTACTTTCTCCTTTCAAGAGGAATAAACGGGACCCTAAATTTAATTCTCACCTGGTTCCTAAGCCTCTCATGCCTCGCGCGAGATTTGAAGTCGGGCTCCTCTTTACGGATGGCACCTGGCCTTAAGCTAGTATTCCTTAAAAACATTGGAATTTTTGGTGGCATATCGGTGGGATGTTGCTTTATCCGACTTGCGTCCTTCTGCTAAAGAACGTCCAGCACAAATAGCTACTTTCTTATAGGTTTTGTCAACCCTGCTTGTAGCCTCTTTAAGAGGACTTTGGAGAGCCATGGTATTATGAATATTGTGCATTTGTAGTATCCAAGAGCGGTGTCCACTTATTTCAGCCTACTCATATCTCTTGCAGATATATATATATATATGTACTAATACCCGCTCGATGCTGAACTACCAGCTAGTCGTGGCCCTTGGCTCTCGTTAGGCATAGAGACACTATATACTCATATACATGTTATAGTGTCTATGGATGAACTACGGGTGCTATAAGATTACATTAAGTATCTTTGTTTAGTGTACCTATTCGTCAGTGTTTGGTATTACCTTGTATTCGGTGGTACCCTGTATTAGCGAACACCGTGTTAAGTGAACCCCGTGTTAAGTGAACCCCGTGTTAAAGGAAACCCATGTTAAGCGAACCCCATGTTAAGCAAAACCCGTGCCATGCCCAGAAAGCAAGAAAGACTTACTCGCAGTAAGAAAGCCGAGTCACTGAGTCAGCCCAGTTCTCGTGCATTGTCACCAGTAGCGAGACCATCTGCTGAACAACCACCAGTCGTTGCTTACCCGATATAAGGTAAGCAGTGCAAGTGATGGACCATGAAATGACTGTATTCTGAAATTCTTGAAAAGATTGAGGTCTTATCTAGAGACCTGAAAGATGTGCAGGTGCAGACATACTAGTTCGCTGAGCGGCTTGCCAGGCAAGTAGAGGCAACCAGTCAGCAGGTAGATGTGACCCATCAGCAGGCAAAAATGACCTGTCAACAGGTGGAAGTGACCCAACACATGGATGCTGTAACGACTAGCCAGTCCAACCGAGTGGAAGCCATGGATCCCATCACAAGACAACCTCAGGAACACCAAGGCAGAGATGAGCAGATTGCCAGGCTCCGACATTAGTTAGAGGGAAAGGAAAAATAGCTTGAAGAAGACAGGAGGAGGAATCAGGCAAGAGGATCTTTCCAGTTACTAGTTACCTAGGCATGAAAATGTGACTTACTCCCCCAGCCTTTACCACGCAGCTGACCGCCTACCCCAGAACCTGCATGGCCAGTGAATGCTTTGGACAATCTGAGCGCTCCCCCATCTTGCCACCAGCCTCCATCTGGGAGACCCACCTTACCTCATGGGGCACCCCAGAATGTCTCTTATGTTCTTGCATGTGAATCCGTCCCTCACTTCAAAGGGTATACTTCAGTATCAAACATGAAGAAGAAGAATCAAGGGATTGGAGGTTGGATACACTCTTCTATTATGTAAAACTTGAGAAAACCACCAACAAGTGAATCTTTCATCCAGGCAGCTGGATGAAAGAGGCCCAGCAGACTTCATAATCAACTCTCAAATCTTTGACTACATACAAGGCTGGGACAACTTCAAAGCAGCCTTCTGGACCAAATTCCGTTGAACTTACACTGCAGCCGATTTTTACAAGGTTATTTATGAGAATAGGACAGTGGTCCTATAACCGGAGGGTCCGGTACACCAAGGATACCGGGATCATAAGGAAGCAATAAGTGACCCCTCAGAACTTATACAGCGTAAATAAGTCTACCTCATAACTGTGCCTATATTCTTGTCCTGTTTCGGCTGAACAAGATGGGGTTATGCCACACCCTGCTCCAAGCCAATGGTGTGGCTTCCATTGTTCCCAGCACCACAACACTTCAGATTGCCGTTTAGCAAAAGCAGCAAGGAGACCAACAACCACCAGAAGGTGTGATCTGCTTCTGCTGCCGGAGAGCTGGACATTTAGCCCAGGAGTGTCCCTTTTAGATTAGCCAGAATGGCAGAGCTCCCAGCTTCACTGGCAATCTCACAACAGGGAGCCATAACTACAGTCAGCACACAGACGGAGTTAACCCACTTGATCTGCGCAGTGAATGCACTGGGTCCTATGGGAAGACCTCATGTGGAACTCAATGTTAATGGCAGAATGTTATTCTTCATTGATACAAGATCCAATGCTACTCTTGTTAAGTCTTCTGCTGCCATCTTGATGGATACATGCCACAGGCCTTGAAACAGAA